TGTGGAGTGGGCGCAGTGAGTAAAGATAGTAAACATGACACTAACCAATTGATTGATCAAATTTAAAAAGTGCCCATGGCAAGCTTGATAGAGTGAGAAATGCATTTCAACTTTTATTTTTCAGCTCACACTCTAGCTTTGGTCACTCTGCTTCCTGCTCACACACCTGGGTTCCTATGGCAACTCACTCTACAGCAAGGGCAGAGAAGAGTGGTTAAAAACAAACTGCTCCAACTTGCTCACTTCACTGGCGGTTGCCATCTTCAAACGGTTGTAGTTTAAAAATTATAAATCCTACAATGAAGAGCTTTATATTGTGAGAATCACAAGACCCACACCTACATTTTGATGCATAGTATGTCTCTGAAATATTAAAAATGAAGGCACAGTCGCACTTTAGAAATTGCCCTTCAAATTTGAGGTGGCTAGAGTGGAGTTTCAATGAATGTCAATGGGCGGCGTGAGTTGCAAACAAATGGTCATATTGTAAAAACTATCAGGAGTATGGCTTAGCCGTGGACATTTTTAGTGGCAGCAGGGATAGCTGAACATTTTGATATAAGATTTGTGTAGGTGGGCTTGAAAATGAGGGAATGATGGCAGTTTACAAATCATGTCCTGATTTTTCAGCTCACACTCTAGCTTTTGTCAGCTCCCACTCTAGTTTGGAACATTCCGCCATTCATTCCTATGGGACCAATTTCACCACAAAAACCGCGATATTTCATGAACCATTCGGCGAAACATTCCACAAAGTAATAGCAATCCGATCGGGAACAATCCGCACGTTTCCGTATATTACGGTCTTTGTAGTGTAAAAACTGTGGGAGGAGTTAGGGTGGTAAATTTTGCTATAATAATAAGAATATATTTGTGAGATAACAGGAAGTGGTCTTCCAAGAACACTTAATAATAAACAAGAAAATCTACAATTTCTGGGGAAATTGTGTAAAGTGTTCTTGCCGCAACCTTTACCAAGTAATGATGACATGTAAGCAGTGCACATTGCAAGCCTGACAGAGGCAGAAATGGATTTCTGCTTGTATTTTGCATCTCACAGTCCAGCCTGTGTGAGTCAGCTGTGTGTGAGTCATGTTTGGTTGCTATAGCAACTCACTCTGTCAGGAATGTGAGCAGCTCTGCTCTAAAAAACGCTTTTTAAACTTGTCAAGTTCACTGGCGATTGCCATCTTCAAACGCTTGTAGTTTTTAAAGTATAAATGCTACTGTGAAAAGGTTTATATTGTGACAATCACAAGAAACAGACCTAAATTTTGATGTATAGTATGTCTCTGAAAGATAAAAAATGAAGGCACAGTCGCAGTTTAAAAACGTCCCTTAAAATTTCTGGTGTCTAGAGTGGAGTTTCAATGAAAGTCAATGGGAGGGGTGAGGTGCAAACAAATGGTCATATTGTGAAAACTATCAGGAGTATGTCCTAGCCGTGAACATTTTTATAAAAAGTTGGATAGTTACTTGTGAGCCACTAGGAGTTTTCTTTCTATATATAAACTCTATTTGTAATTGATTGATATCATACATAAAAAATTATAAAAAAATATATGTGAAAAATATATAAATAATAAAATATTACAAATTAATTACGAATTAATTAATTAATTGCGTGCTAAAATTAGTATTAATTAAATATTAAAGAAAAGAAACATAGTGTCTTATCCGGGATATCAATTATTTTTTTTTAATTTTTATTTTTTCATTTTTATTTTTTTATTTTTATTTTTATTTTCTTTTTAATTTTAATTTTATTTTATTTTTTATTTTAATTTTATGTTTATTTTTATTTTATTTTAATTTTTTTATTTTAATTTTATTTTTTTTATTTAATTTTATGTTTATTTTATTTTTATTTTAATTTTATTTTTAATTTTATTTTTATTTTTATTTTTAATTTTATTTTATTTTAATTTTATTTCAATTTTATTTTTAATTTTAATTTTTTTTTTTTTTTTATTTTTCTTTTTTTTTTTCATTTTTTTTTTTTCATTTTCATTTTTTTTATTTTTATTTTTTTATTTTTATGTTTATTTTAATTTTATTTTTATTTTTTTTTTTATTTTTATTTTTATTTTTATCCAGACTGAATAATAACACCATCTCATTTATACAGAAGGAACTGTCATTCCCACTGCAAATATTTTTTTTTTTTTATTTATATTTTTCATTCATAGTTTTTGTTTTTTCACATTGATAAATTAATTTATTTTATATATTTACACAAATCATATATTTAAGTATAATTAATTGATGTAATTATTTGATTATCGGTGGTACACTTATGAATTCATTATATCACATAAGGTAGAATATATTGGAGCGCGGTACACTACTGGCATTCGTGAACATTTTTAGTGACAGCAGGGTTAGCTGAACGTTTTGATATAAGATATGTGTAGGTGGGCTTGAAAATGACATAGTGATGGCAGTTTACAAATCATGTTCTGATTTTTCCTTCCACACTGCAGCTTTCTCACTTCTCAGTCTAATGTGACTCAGCTGCCCCCTGAGTGACCTTTGGTGCACCTGTGACTCAGTCAGTCACAGGTGTGTGAGAACCTCTGTTCTAAACACACTGCTCAAACTTGCCAAGTTCACTGGCGATTGCCATCTTCAAACGCTTGTAGTTTTAAAAGTATAAATGCTACCATGAAAGGTTTATATTGTGACAATCACAAGAAAAAGACCTAAATTTTGATATATAGTATGTCTCTGCAATATTAAAAATGAAGGCACAGTCGCAGTTTAAAAACGTCCCTTAACATTTCAGGTGGCTGTGAGTGAAGTTTCAATGAAAGTCAATGGGAGGGGTGAGGTGCAAACAAATGGTCATATTCTGAAAACTATCAGGAGTATGTCCTAGCCGTGAACATTTTTAGTGACAGCAGGGTTAGCTGAACGTTTTGATATAAGATATGTGTAGGTGGGCTTGAAAATGACATAGTTATGGCAGTTTACAAATCATGTTCTGATTTTTCCTTTCACACTGTAGCTTTCTCACTCTAATGTGACTCAGCTGCCCCCTGAGTGACCTTTGGTTGCACCTGTTGCCTCAGTCAGTCACAGGTGTGTGAGAAGCTCTGCTCTAAACAGGCTGTTTAAACTTGCCAAGTTCACTGGCGATTGCCATTTTCAAACACTTGTAGTTTTAAAAGTATAAATGCTACCGTGAAAAGGTTTATATTGTGACAATCACAAGAAACAGACCTAAATTTTGATGTATAGTATGTCTCTGAAAGATAAAAAAATGAAGGCACAGTCGCAGTTTAAAAACGTCCCTTAAAATTTCTTGTGTCTAAAGTGGAGTTTCAATGAAAGTCAATGGGAGGGGTGAGGTCCAAACAAATGGTCATATTGTGAAAACTATCAGGAGTATGTCCTAGCCGTGAACATTTTTAGTGACAGCAGGGTTAGCTGAACGTTTTGATATAAGATATGTGTAGGTGGGCTTGAAAATGGCAGAGTGATGGCAGTTTACAAATCATGTTCTGATTTTTCTGATTTTTCCTTTGCACACTCTAGCTGTGCTCTGCTGCTCAATGCATTCCTATGGGAAAATTTCGCCGCAAAAACCGCGATATTTCTTGAACGATTCGGCGAAACGTTCCACAAAGTAATAGCAATCCGATCGGGAACAATCCGCACGTTTTGATATATTACTTGTATTTGTAGTGTAAAAACTGTGGGAGGAGTTAGCGTGGCAAATATGGCTATAATAAGAATAAGAATATATATGTGAGATAACAATAAGTGTTCCTTGCTATGCAAGAACACTTAATTAAAAAAATAGACTTGAGTAGCTGCATTAGCTGATTTTCATTTAATTTGTGTTTTTTATATGTGCCTTATCTACCTGGAGTTCAACGTCAAAAGGCCATTCAGTTGAAGACTGCTCTAATATTTTTGCTACGGGAAAATCCATGCATGACAGGAAAATTCTATGCTTCACTTTAGTTGTAGAGCTACTGGTTTGATGTCTAAGATCTAGATCAGTGTTTCTCAACCTTTTTTCAGTCAAGGCTCCCTTTAAAATTATAGACGGTCCCGAGGCACCCTTTAAAATTATGGACAGTCTTGAGGCACCCCATTCTGAAATGGGTGCCTCAAGACTGTCCATAATTTCAAAAGGGCACCCCATTCTAAAATGTGAAAAAAACTATTCTAATAGATTTATAGAATGCAGCAACATCCACATATGTAGGACACCCAACATTAGAGGGGATTTATTCTTCCAAAGCAAATACACTTTTGCGCACTGGTACTGAGTAGTATTCCAATGTTTCTCTTCTCACTCAGTTTTTATCCATCACTGAGCTAATGTATCGCTAGCGGTGATGGAGAGGGGCAGGGGAGGGTCAAACTAGGATGGTGTTCAGGCAGCTGACATCCTCATCATCTGATGATGTAATTGGTTGTCAGGACTCCAGCAGCTAGAAGGTCAGAATGGTGCACAATGAAAACCTGTGGCTTTGTGTAGCTAAAAGGCAGTTTTGTTCCACCCGCTGGCTTGTATACAAGTTTTGGGCAATTTTTAGACATGTTGCAAAGGCACCCCTGAAGAAACCTCAAGGCACCCCAGGGTGCCTGGGCACCCTGGTTGAGAGAGGCTGATCTAATTGATATGAGAAACAAAAAAAAAACTTCACTGATGATTCCATAAAGTGGAGACTGAGATAGTCTGCACTCTGGTGTATGGTGTATTGCCAATCCTAGCCAAGAGATCTTTGGAAGGTTGCTGTGATGGTTTGTACCTGGGCATATTACCCGTATACTAACTTAGCAATAGGGGTTGTTTGGAAGGAAGTTTACTGCCTCCTTGTAGAAGCAGCTCTGCCTGTGTAGTACCCATTTGGCTCCTATTTTGCAATACGTTTGATGAAATCTTCATCATGGATGTTTTGAAAACTTAAGTATAGCTTAAAATGTATAATTAGAACAAATTATTGATGTCCTTCTGATAACTTTCTATGTTCTCTTTAATTTAGGGCATGAAAATTTTCTTCCTTGTGGTGGCAACAATGTACATCCTATATCTTTTGTTCCTTGTTATACGAGCGTGCTCTGAACTACGAAATATGCCATATGTTGGTAAGACATTTTGCAAAGTTAACTAAAGTGGGAAGTAAAAGTGGGTGTATCTTGTGGGTGTATCATGTCAATAATAGAAACAGCTTGCATAGCTTTTGTGTATGTCAGAGAGAGTGCTAAAGATTTGTTTTAAACGTCTTGACATATTTGGAGCTGTCTGATAATGGGTATGACTTTAATATTATGCACAGAAAACTAAAACTTTGACAACACAGATTCTCCATTTTGATTATCTAAGGGTTGGAAATAATTTGTATTTCATTTTGAAGTGAATTGACAGCAATAATTAAAGTGCACAGCGCACAGTACGGGCATTTTCAGACTATAGGTTGCATTGAAGGCAGCTAAGGTATTTTGAACGGGCTGGCAACATTCTTTAACACCATAAAAATGGACCTTACATTTTTTTTTTTTTTTACATTTTTCATACAGTGCATGAAATTTGCATTGTGGTGCACTGTAGAGCAGATGCGTTCCCCAATACTATAATATTGCATTTGGATGTCATTCAAAATAAATGGCACCACAACAATCTGCTTCATGATTCTCATCATTTGTGCTTTGTATTACTGTGTGATAAAACCTTTAACTACAACATATTGAATGGGGCACTAAAGGTATCATTGAGTAGAGGGGAAAAAAAAGCAGCTCATTATTGATGGCTTCGGCTGTACAGTCAGTTGCTGTGGAGTACCTCACACTTGCTGTTAAAGCAGTATTTACTCCCTCCTCGCCGCACATGGCAGTACTCTTTTTGCGAGATCACCTGTAGACAGGGCCAGAAGCTTGGAACACACAGTAGCTCTAGCACATACAGGTTTATGTCCATTTAGACTTTAATACTTTTTTTTTTTTTTTTTGGATTGAGTAACGAAGACATATTTTTTTGCTGTCGCTAACAATATTCACCTTCTCTATTTGTCCTTGTAACCATTGTCTCCATTGCAGAGAGTGATGGGAAATATGAAACTTTACAGTTTTCATGGGAACATGTAGTGAGGGGAAATCTTTCATTAGGGATGCCTATTTAAGTGGAGCAGCCTTTAGAAGGAACTTCCCCTCACTTTGAAGAGTTCCCTCACTTCCTGTTGTGTCAGAGGGACAATCTCTGTAAAGGGAACAAGTGGCAAAAAAAATCTGTCTGATTCTAAGCTTTCCTTTATACAAAACTAAAGGAGGAACACAAACATTTTTGACTATAGTTTGGGGTGTGACTTACTAAAATTACTATTATTATTATACAGGATTTATATAGCGCCAACAGTTTGATCAGCACTTTACAATATAAAGGGATACAGTACAGCAACCGTAAAATTCAATACAAGAGGGTCAAGAGGGCCCTGCTCCTGAAAGCTTACAATCTAGTGGCAAGTGGAACAAAAGGTAATAATTGTGAGAGATGAGTTTTCAGGGATTGCCTAAGAGTGGAAAGAGTAGGAGATAGCTGGACAGATTGGGGTAGAGAGTACCAGAAGATAGGAGAGGCTTTGGAGAAGTCCTGGAGATGAGCATGGCAGGTGCACACAAGGGAGCTTGGAGGGCAAGAGGACTTGGGAGGAGTGGAGAGGACAGTTTCTGTGATATTTTGAGACAAGACAGATGATGTAGGTGGGAACCAAGTTGTAAATGGCTTTGTATGTTGTCGTTTAATATTTAAAATTTTGTTAGGCAATCTGAAGCCAGTGGAGGGATGGCAGACATTGTGGTCGGTGACTTTTCTGCTTCTTAATGTTACGTTTATTTAAAATATATTCTGTCTTTCAGATCTGCGGCTCAAGTTTCTTACAGCTTTAACTTTCGTAGTGCTTGTTATCAGGTATGTCAGTGGTAAACATGTATCTGGAGATTATCTGCTTTGCTTCAGAAGAAAAGCAAACATGATTGTTCACAATATAAAAAGCTTTGAATTTTTGGTACTGAAGAGTTTATTGTATTCTCCTCTTTTGTCTTGCAGCATTGTCATTTTATATCTAAGATTCGGCTCACAAGTTTTACAGGACAATTTTGTTGCTGAGCTGTCAACACATTATCAAAATTATATCCTTTTGCGTGGTACCTTATTAACCATTTGCCCTCTGGAAGATTTACCACCCTTCATGATCAGGCCATTTATTTGCAATATGGCACTGCGTTTACTTTAACTGACAATTGCGCGGTCATGCAACTCTGTACATAAATTAAATCTATAATTTTTTTCCCACAAACAGAGCTTTCTTTTGGTGGTATTTGAGCACCTGTGCATTTTTTTATTTTTTGCACTATAAACAAAAAAGGCCAACAATTTTGGGGGAAAAAAAAACAATATTTTTGACTTTTTGTTATAAAACATATCCAATAAAAATAAATTTTCTTCATAAATTTAGGCCAAAATGTATTCTGCTAATTGTTTTTGTTAAAAAAAAAAATCCAATCAAGTGTATATTAATTGGTTTATGTGAAAGTTTTAACACATTTACAAATGGCGGTTTATATACTAGAATTTCTATTTATTTTTTTTATACTAGTGATGGTTGCAATCAGCAACTTTCTGCAGGACTGCTGCAGGCATTCTGACACTAACTGACACTGGGTGGGAACTGAATAACTGGCACTGATATCTGCAGTGATACTAATAAAGAGCACTGATCACTGTACTAATGACACTGGGCAGGAAAGGATTAACATCTGGGGCGATCAAAGGGTTAACAGTGTGCGGTTTTGTGCTTACTGTGTGCTGTTTTTTTAGGGGATGTGCTGCTTTCTATCTCTCTGCTTTGCAGAGAGATAGAAAACAACATGTCTTTGCTGACAGGAGAGAAACCTGTGTTGTTAACACACAGATCTCTCCCCTGTCCACTTCTCCGCCGATCACTGATTCCCAGCACATGAATCACTGGCTGGGACCCGGTGATTGACATCTGTGGGAGCCAATGACAGGGCAGGTAGGGCGGCGCGCGCACCCTCTACCCAGAAATGAAAAATCACGTATATATATATGTGATTTTGCACAGTGCAGCCGCCCTGTCGCAGTATATCTGCTATAAGGTGGTCCTTAACCACTTGCCTACTGGGCACTGTTACCCCCTTCCTGCCCAGGCCTATTTTCAGCTTTCATCACTCTTGCACTTTGAATGAACAATTGTGCAATCATGCAACACTGTATCCATATTTACATTTTTATAATTTTTTTTTCACACAAATAGAACTTTTTTGGTGGTGTTTAATCGCCACTTGGTTTTTTACTTTTGTACAAATAAACAAAAAAAAGAGCAAAAAATTTACTTCTATTATAAAATTTTGCAAACCGATAAATTTTCTCACTTTTTCACTGATGTGCATTGATGAGGCTGCACTGATAGGCTACACTGGAGGAAACTGATGAGGCGGCACAGACGGGCAGTACTGCTGGGCACTTTTGGGGCTGCACTGATCGGTGCCCTGACTATCAGTGCAGATGTCCTCTGTGACAGTTGCCGGTTATCAGCAGTACTTTCCTCAAGTTGTGACAGCGTGAGGAAAGTGCTGCCAATAACCAGCAACTGTATTTACTTTGTGATCAGCTGTGTGATTGGACACTGCTGATCACGTGATAAAAGGCCGCTGTGATTGGCATTTTACCTTGTCATGTGATCAGCCGTGTCCATAGGACACAGTGATCACAGACAGTGCCGGGTGCGTGCCCTGGAGCGCATTGTGGGAGGACGTCATAGGACTCCCTCCCAGAACTGGACAACCGCGCTGTAGCTGTCATTCAGCTATAATTCGGTTGTCAAGTGGTTAAATGGCTAAAATAAATCCAACTGGTGGTAGTAGCAACATATTGCCAAATGTTTTGCATGTTGTACTTGAACAATAATAATCACAATATGAATTACTATTGATTGATATGTTTTAATGTGTTTGTAGCTCCAAAGTAATTTGTAAATTGCTTGCCAACATCCCAGATAATGGAGATTCACCCAAGAAACCAAGTATTGAGGTAAAATTCCAAGAAAAATTTGGTGTGGGTGTTCCACATAACTATCAACTCTAGTAGATCTTAAGAGGATATTCTACATGCACAAGTTTCTTGAAATTTTATCTCAGTACTTGGTTTCTTTGCCGTTTAAAGTCCCGAACAATTTTGGGGGGAATCTCCATTTTCTTTGTGTGATAATGGTATTCAGTATATAAATTTCTTTCTATCTTATGTATTAATATTTTTGTCCTTTTTTTAAAAGAAGTAAAGGCAGGGGTGAACAAACTACAACACCGCCAGGGTTGCTAACCATGGTCATTTTTTATTCACATGCTTTAACCACCTCCTGCCCGCCATATAGTAATATGACGGACGCAAGGTGGTTCTCTCGTTCTGGGAAGACGTCATATGATGTCCTCCCATTCTCACCGCTCATGCGTGGCTCAGGGAGCGCGAAGCATGGCGATAGGTGGTACGCTGTGTCCCTCGGACACAGTGGATCACCGATCACAGAAAGAGCCAAAGATGTCGGCTCGGTCATGTGATCAGCTGTGTCCAATCACAGCTGATCACATGTAAACAGGGAAATGCCGGTTATCGGCATATCTCTCCTGACAGCTCGAGAGGAGAGGAGAGCCAGTAAATCGGCTTTCCGCGGAGGGGACATGTACACTGATCATCCGGGCACTGATGATCAGTGTGCCCTGATGATCAGTGTAGCCCCAGCAGCGCCACTTGTCGGTGTCCATCAGTGCCTCGTGCCAGTGCCCATCAGTGCCACATCAATGCCACATATCAGTGCCCATCTGAGCTGCCTTTCCATTGTCACTAATCAGTGCCAGTCAGTGCCACTTATCAATGCCAATCAGTGCAGCCTATCAGTGCCCATCAGTTCAGCCTATCAGTGCCCATCACTGTAGCCTCATTATCGCACATCAGTGAAGGAAAAAAAAATCACTTATTTACAAAGTTTTATAACAAAAACTAAGAAAAAACGTTTTTGGTTTCTTTAAGAAAAAAAAAAAACCCAGAGGTGATTATATACCACCAAAATAAAGCTCTATCTGTCAAAAAAAGGATACAAATTTCATATGGGTACAGTGTTGCATGACCACCTAATTTTCATTCAAAGTGCGACAGTGCTGAAAGCTGGAAATTGGCCTGGGCAGAAAGGGGGTATAAGTGCCCTGTAGGCTAGCGGTTAAAGAAGCACAGCCAAAGCTTTTTTGGCTTTACTTCTGTAGATCACAGGAGTGCAGTTTGTTCTACACTCCATTGACCAGTTTTCAGCCAGCAGGCTAAAGTCTGCTGTTGGCTGAGGTCATTGAGTCAATCCAGGCTCTGAAAAGATCCTGAACATATGGTCAGGATCCACCCAGCCAGCCCCTACTATTCCCTACAGCCCAGCGCTCCAGTGAGCGCTGGAGGGGCAGAGCAGAGCCGTAAATGACAGCCACAGCTTTCTGCTCAGAGCAAAGGGGGAGAACTGAGCAATCAGCTGTGTTTGATCGCTGAGTTTCCACTGCTGACCCAGCGGGGAACAGATACAGCATTGGATCGATGCTGCATCCACCTAGGTGAGTATAATTTATTTATTTTTTTAAGTATTCCTAATTCTTTGTGTGTGTAAATGTAGAGAAAAAATATTAATAAAGACCTGAAACCTATAAATGGAAACCCTTATAATATTGAAGATACATGTCTTAAATGTATAGTTTTATGAAACATTGTATTTTTCATGATAGTGGTCCTTTGGACATTAGATTAAGCATTACATTGTTCTTCCAATGGTTATCCATGTTCTAAGTACAAGCTTCTGAGAGAAAACCCCGTTTCATTTCCCTTAACTCTGAACACCAGCAGAGTTCTTGTCCTTCTATGGCTTGCTGAATTTTTATCTATACACTTTAGCATTTGTCTACTCCCCATCAAAAAATGCACTGTATGGTAAGTGTTACCCTTGAAATGCTTTTGTTTTTTAAGCAAGTTCACATTAAAGTGTTATTAAACCCACAAAAGTAAAATCAGTCTGTATATGCAGTAAAGCATGCTTGTTATACTCACTGTGGAACCTATGGGGTTAATCCTTTGCATTGTGTAAAAAGGCTGTTTGATTCTCTCTTCTGATACTCCCCTTCTTCTACTTCTACTGTACTCAATCCATCTGCTGATAGTACAGAGCTCTAGGAGTCACTCTGCACATGCTCCGTTTAGAGTTTATGGCTAGAGAGTTTTTTTTTTTTCTTTGGGAGGGTGCATGTGATCAGCCCAGGGCCAATCATCACTGTCCAGACAGAGGGTCAGGGGTTATGCAGCCTTATAGGACAATCAGAGGAGAATGAAAACTCCTCCTACAAGCTTTTACCAGTGCTCAGCTGGACACTGATAGAAGTCACAAGACTGCTATATACTACTAACGAGAAAAGGTATTTATTAGTTTATATTTACTGATGTAATTGCATTTCCACGATGTGTGTATTGTGGGAGACCAGGTATGTAGTGAATGCAAGGTCCTGGGTTTAGTAACACTTTAATTATCATAATGTTTGCTAATAATTAACTTGTGAGTTGAATTATGATTTAATATTTTCATTATTTTATATTCAGATTTGTAACTGCTTCCATATGTTGGGAAAAGGGGGTAAACTTTTCTGCTTTTTTGTTTTGGCAATATCTTGGGTCTACCCACATGGTTTTTTAGGTTTTGTAGTCATTGGTAACATATATAATATGTTTTATTCAGGACAGAAAGGACTTCAATTTGGTAGAAAAATTGCTTACATATTTTCTCATTTGTTTTTTGGGGGGTGTAAAGAGTGACAAATTAGAAACTTAAAGCCTAAGTGTAGCTAAAATTCCAAATATAAAAATTAGCACAAAGGATATAATCTGCGGTTAGTATGATGTGTTCCATGTGTTGATTCTTCTGGTTTCAGGAGAAATCCTGTTCTGTCCTATGCATGACACAGGATATCTGGATGGAGGGTGGGCAGATGATGGCTCCACCTACTCCATACAGAGACCCTGTGTTATTTATTGAAACAGCATCTATGAATGGTGGATTAGGCAGGAGAGGGTGGGCATAGGCAAGCTCTTTTGATCAGAGCTCCTGACAGCCCCTTAGCTGTATTAACCCTGGCCATACTGGGGGGTAGGATAGAGCAAGATTGCTGCTACTCTTCTAGGCAGATGCTTACATTCCAATTCTCTTAGCCATCCACATCCCTGGAGGTGGACCTCCTAAGCCGCCAACACATAGACCTTGGAAGAGGGGTCTATGCACCTTGAGATGTTTCAAAATCCCTGTCAGATGTGGACATCCTGGTCTTAAGGTTCATAAACAAGCTGTATAGAGGCCCAGGAATCCTCCAGCCTTTGCAGTAGATGCTCAGGTGATTCCTTGGATTCAACTCATGCTGGTTTATGCCTGGCCTTAAGGAACAGGTTTCTGTTTTATTCATGAAGTTTCCAGAGTCCTGTTGCCTTGCAATCCTTTATTGACTTTTAGGAAGTTGCTCATATAAATCCCCCAATTTGACCACCTGCATCACCTTTGGATCTCAAGCTTGTTCTATCTGTCCTTCACAACCCCTTGGAACCGATTCCTTTGTTAGGTGCATTTTTGAGTTGACAAATTTCTTTTCTTAATTTGCACAGAAACAAAGTGGTCTTGAGACTAAAACCTTCTTTTTACCTAAGGTAGTCTCTTCTTTCCACTTCAATGAGGACAGTTCTCCCTTCCCTCCGTTCTGCCCCAAAACAAAAGGAAATTGCTCTACACTGCTTGGATATGGTCTGGGCTGTCAGGGTCTCCCTAGCAGCCACGGTTTCTGTTCTCAAGACTAAATCCCTCTTAGTTCTGCCTGTAGGTTTTCATAAAGGACACCCTGCCTTTTGCTCCACAATTGCCAGGTGAATCAGCTTATTTACAGCTCCTTAAGAAAAAGGTTCCTCCTTTCCCCATCAGAGCTCATTCCAACAGCATCAAGCATTTGTATTCCAGGCTTGTAAGGCCACCACCCGGTCCTCTTGTTCTCACATTCTCTGAGTTCTGCCAGGTGGATGCTAAGGCCTCCATGCTTCAGCTGTAAAGTTCTTTTGACTAATAATATGATGGATTTCTTTATTAGAATTGTATCAGTTAATTTTTCTTCTATTTCTCTTACAGAATCACAGTTGAAAGATAATCCTGCCTTTTCAATGCTAAATGACTCTGATGATGATGTAATATACGGGTATGTCTTTTGCTTTTGTGCAATTGTGGAGTATAAAAAAGATTTTATTATTTCACTACTGTTCACATCTTGCATTTTTGTGCCTTGAGACACATTGCTTTATTTTAGCCCATTTATTTTTAAATGTAAACCATAAAAGAGAGAGAAGCAGCGTCATCTAAGTGCAGCAATACAGGTGAAACGCCAAAAATTAGAATATCATGCAAAAGTTCATTTATTTCAGTCATGGAACTTAAAAGGTGAAACTAATATATGAGATAGACTCATTAAATGCAGAGCAAGATAGTTCAAGCTGTGATTTACCATAATTGTGATGATTATGGCTTACAGCTCATGAAAACCCCAAATCCACAATCTCAGAAAATTAGAATATTGTGAAAAGGTGCAATATTCTAGGCTCAAGTGTCCCACTCTAATCAGCTAATTAAGCCATAACACCTGCACGATATTCTAATTTTTTGAGTTTCACCTGTATATGCAAATTTATTTCCACAAAATTGGCAACTCACAAAAGTACTTTAACAGACAGTGCCACGCAATACTCGTGCTATAAACAGTGCTAAAAACATATATAGTGCATAACATTTGTGCAAGTCCTCCATATAAAGTGCATGTTACAACCAATGTGCAGATATCACACATACAATTTAGTTATCTTGCAATATTTCACTCTCAAATTACTGTTCAAATCCTTAGAAATTGTGCAAAATCCTCCTTGTTTAAAAAGTCCGTATATTTTCATAAATATTCAAGCAACTTCCTGCCGTACCGAAAATCACCCATTTATATTCCTCCTCCACCAACACACATATATACTGTCACCTCCTGTATTCGACCCATATGTATTTAGGTCCAATAGCGCTTTTTCCCTTTTTCTCTCCAACCTCCAATCTTCTCCACAATCTAATCCAGATCGATCCTCCTATTCTTTATACAGCGTATCATAAAAAGTGCCCAACTGGGACACTGCAGTTTAACAGACTACAGTATATTAATTTTCCAAGTTCAGCGTTCTTTGGGCACTCACAAGATGGCAACTCGCAAACTTCCGGTTGTGCTGCTTGATGTTATCGGCCCACCCCCTCCCACAGAGCCTCCTGTGTCCCCCCCTCCCACAGAGCCTCCTGTGTCCCCCCCTCCCACAGAGCCTCCTGTGTCCCCCCCCCCTCCCACAGGGTCTCCTGTGTCCCCCCCCCTCCTGCAGAGTCTCCTGTGTCCCCCCCCCCCTCCCGCAGAGTCTCCTGTGTCCCCCCCCCCCCTTCCGCAGAGTCTCCTGTGTCCCCCCCCCCCTTCCGCAGAGTCTCCTGTGTCCCCCCCCCCCCCTCCCGCAGAGTCTCCTGTGTCCCCCCCCCCTCCCGCAGAGTCTCCTGTGTCCCCCCCCCTCCCGCAGAGTCTCCTGTGTCCCCCCCCTCCCGCAGAGTCTCCTGTGTCCCCCCCTCCCGCAGAGTCTCCTGTGTCCCCCCCCTCCCGCAGAGTCTCCTGTGTCCCCCCCCCCTCCCGCAGAGTCTCCTGTGTCCCCCCCTCCCGCAGAGTCTCCTGTGTCCCCCCTCCCGCAGAGTCTCCTGTGTCCCCCCCTCCCGCAGAGTCTCCTGTGTCCCCCCCCCTCCCGCAGAGTCTCCTGTGTCCCCCCCCCCCTCCCCCCCCCGCAGAGTCTCCTGTGCCCCCCCCCCCCCCCCCCTCCCGCAGAGTCTCCTGTGCCCCCCCCCCCCTCCCACAGAGTCTCCTGTGCCCCCCCCCCCCCTCCCACAGAGTCTCCTGTGCCCCCCCCCCCCCTCTCCCACAGAGTCTCCTGTGCCCCCCCCCCCCTCCCACAGAGTCTCCTGTGCCCCCCCCCCCCTCCCACAGAGTCTCCTGTGCCCCCCCCCCCTCCCACAGAGTCTCCTGTGCCCCCCCCCCCTCCCACAGAGTCTCCTGTGCCCCCCCCCTCCCACAGAGTCTCCTGTGCCCCCCCCTCCCACAGAGTCTCCTGTGCCCCCCCTCCCACAGAGTCTCCTGTGCCCCCCCCCCCCCCCCCCTCCCACAGAGTCTCCTGTGCCACCCCCCCCCCCCCCCCCCTCCCACAGAGTCTCCTGTGCACCCCCCCCCTCCCACAGAGTCTCCTGTGCCCCCCCCCTCCCACAGTTTCTCCTGTGTCCCCCCCCTCCCACAGTTTCTCCTGTGTCCCCCCCTCCTCCCACAAAGAGTCTCCTGTGTCCCCCCCTCTCCCACAAAGAGTCTCCTGTGTCCCCCCCTCTCCCACAAAGAGTCTCCTGTGCCCCCCCCCCTCTCCCACAAAGAGTCTCCTGTGCCCCCCCCCCCCTCTCCCACAAAGAGTCTCCTGTGCCCCCCCCCCTCTCCCACAAAGAGTGTCCTGTGCCCCCCCCCCCGTCTCCCACAAAGAGTGTCCTGTGCCCCCCCCCCCTCTCCCACAAAGAGTGTCCTGTGCCCCCCCCTCCCACAAAGAGTGTCCTGTGCCCCCCCCCCTCTCCCACAAAGAGTCTCCTGTGTCCCCCCCTCTCCCACAAAGAGTCTCCTGTGTCCCCCCCTCTCCCACACAAAACACACACACACCACACACACACCACCGCCTACCTGACAGCATGTGTAGAGCGGAGATCAGAAGACAACACAGTGCTGGGTGGAAGGCGGGAGCAGGAGCTGCCAAGCTAATGATTGGTTGCTTGGGCAGACTAGCAACCAATCACTGAGCAGCTTCCTCCCCTGACCCTGCCCTCCATCCAGCACTATGCTGCCTCCTGCTCTCCGCTCTGCCTGTAATATGAGAGCGGCGGAGGCTGTGGGGAGGCAGAACCACGGTCACGATCGACCTGGCAGCTCCCCATGGTTGACCAGTTGATTGTGATCCACAGGTTGCCGACCCCCAACCTAAAGGATACATTTATGGGCAAGGCAATTTCTCAACAGCTCATGTCACCCTGCTTTCATCTCCCAGCAGTGACTCCATAGCCCTTCAATCATAAAGGTAAACACAAAGCAGGTGTTCTGGGAAAGGAGTGAGCTGCGCTGCTGAGAGAAGGTCTTCAGTACTTTTTATGTCATTTTTGAGGATGGATTACTCCACAGTGTCTGCAGATTACAGGGATCAGTGAGGGCTTGTTTTAAATTTATATATATTTCCTGTTAATTTATAATCACTTGAATGTACCTGAACACTATATACACAAAAAAAATACTGTATATTTGAATAACGTTGCTTTCTACTTGTAGCGTCACATAACAGTTATGTCTTTCATTCATATGTTATTATATGCTTTGTTCTAAGCACATTGGTGACATAAACACTTTCTAATATACCTGTCCACAGGAGTGACTACGAGGAGATGCCTCTTCAAAATGGACAAGCCATAAGAGCTAAATATAAAGATGAATCTGATAGTGACTGAGTGGATTGGGATCACCCCGGCGGAGTGCCTTCAGGTGTAGGAGGAAATATTCCGAAGGATGGACATTTTCTTTTCATTACAACTTTGTTGTTATGGATTGCTGCTCTTTCTACAGAGGATTTTTATGTTGTTTTATGTGTTATTTTTCTGGTGACCAAATCCTAATGACACAGGGGAGTCTTGAGGACAGATGTCAGTCTCTTTTGTAGTGTATACAATGAAGCTACGAACCACCATGTTCTAATTATTACTTCCAAAGCACAGCGAGCTCTGTCAATATTTTTTTTTATTTAGGAAGTTGCTGGAGTAGCATGACTCTTAATTGGAACAAGTCCTCTGCAAGTGTGAATGTGATGTCTGTATGTTTTATTGGATCGGATTCTTTATTCTTTAGGAGATTGTATTTAATGAATTTTGCTGCAGTTTCTTTTTTAAATGTTGGTGTGAAGTCCGTTCTTCCATTGGTTCTATATTAAAGGCTATGAAATACGGTTTACATGAAGGACATTTGTAGAGGTATTTTATCTTTTAGAACTATAATAGACACTAATTTGAAAAGGGATGTTTCAGTACTAAATTATGATATAATTATTTGAACAGCTGATGAGAATTGTCTGAGCGGTAAGTATGCAGAGAAAACCTTTTTCTATAGCAGAAGTGCTCCCCTGGTTTGGGCATTGGGTGTTAGCGTGCCATTTCTCTGTGACACCCTTCTGTGAGCCAAAAGCTTGTGCTTTCCAGTACAGCTGATTATACTGAGAGTTAATGCTGAAACCTGGCACTACATTGAGGCCTGAAGCATGCACATGCATCTGTCCCTCCATTGTCAGTTTGATGTGCCCCACATTACTAAAGCTACTAATGCTGTTTCTTCTGGTTTAAAGATGGCCTTTCCTTTTTTTTCTGAGGTGAAAAGGTTAAATTTGTTGTGTGACCCAAATTGTCATTATTTTTTTCTAAAGTGGTTTAGGGAGTCTTTCACGTGGAAGGGCATCTGAAAGAGTCCACTGATGATAGCAGATCAAGCTAGTGGTAAACTTTTTTTTTTTTTTTTTTTTTGGATGCGTGTTAAATGCTTTGTTGTACATGTTCTTATAACTATGTGCGAGGAGTTTACATTAAAGAGGCCCCAGTAGAGAAGAAGATCGCTGCTTGAAAAACTGCAAATTTATTGAAGGTATCAAAAGCTATAAAACAGCTATACCCCTTCATCCGACACTATAAAAAAAAAAAAAAAAAAAAAAAAAAGGAAGTCAAAAACATAATTTTGGTCATATTTGTGGAAAGAATGTGCACTAGGAATTGATCGGCTTGCACCAGTGTGTGTGCATGTATATACAGATATGTGTGTATATGTGTGTGTGTGTGTATATATATATATATATATATATATATATATATATGTGTGTGTGTGTGTGTGTGTGTGTGTGTGTGTATATATATATATATATATATATATATATATATATATATATACACACATATCTGTGTGTGTATATATATATATATATATATATATATATATATATATACACACATATCTGTGTGTGTATATATATATATATATGTGTGTGTGTATATATATGTGTGTATATGTATATATATATATTCTGAAATTTCTTATGAAGATGCTGTCTACTGGGACCTCTTTAATGTGAACTTCTCGCTCACAGTTTATTTTGCTACATATGGTTCAATAGAGTGAGTCAGCCGTAAACTCTTAGTATTTATCCTGCAGTGGCTCCTGTTATTTTTAAGTTTTATAATATCTTCTAACTATGTACCTATGCATGTACGATCCATGTGGGATTAAAGCAGTGTGAAAAGGACTGTGTACATTGCCATTCACTGTACACTTGCTACGAGCGGTTTTATTAACAGCTGTGGTCATTGTGAATGGAACGCTCACCTGTGCTTTATCAATTTTAAAAGGCAGCATTGTTCTAATTCTGTTTTAGTGTAAAAATCTTGCATCCTCCATCATAAACCTCAATAAACAGGGAGTTACAAACTGAGCACTACCCGCTCACTTTCTTGCAGTTCGTGTGTGTATGTATGTATGTGTGTGTGTATGTGTATACATATATATATGTATATGTGTGTGTATATACAGTCAGGTCCATAAATATTGGGACATCGACACAATTCTAACATTTTTGGTTCTATACACCACCACAATGGATTTAAAATGAAACAAACAAGATGTGCTTTAACTGCAGACTGTCAGCTTTAATTTGAGGGTATTTACATCCAAATCAGGTGAACGGTGTAGGAATTACAACAGTTTGCATATGTGCCTCCCACTTGTTAAGGGACCAAAAGTAATGGGACAATTGGCTTTGCAGCTGTTCCATGGCCAGGTGTGTGTTATTCCCTCATTATCCCAATTACAATGAGCAGATAAAAGGTCCAGAGTTCATTTCAAGTGTGCTATTTGCATTTGGAATCTGTTGCTGTCAACTCTCAAGATGAGATCCAAAGAGCTGTCACTATCAGTGAAGCAAGCCATCATTAGGCTGAAAAAACAAAACAAACCCATCAGAGAGATAGCAAAAACATTAGGCGTGGCCAAAACAACTGTTTGGAACATTCTTAAAAAGAAGGAACGCACTGGTGAGCTCAGCAACACCAAAAGACCCGGAAGACCACGGAAAACAACTGTGGTGGATGACCGAAGAATTCTTTCCCTGGTGAAGAAAACACCCTCCACAACAGTTGGCCAGATCAAGAACACTCTCCAGGAGGTAGGTGTATGTGTGTCAAAGTCAACAATCAAGAGAAGACTTCACCAGAGTGAATACAGAGGGTTCACCACAAGGTGTAAACCATTGGTGAGCCTCAAAAACAGGAAGGCCAGATTAGAGTTTGCCAAACGACATCTAAAAAAGCCTTCACAGTTCTGGAACAACATCCTATGGACAGATGAGACCAAGATCAACTTGTACCAGAGTGATGGGAAGAGAAGAGTATGGAGAAGGAAAGGAACTGCTCATGATCCTAAGCATACCACCTCATCAGTGAAGCATGGTGGTGGTAGTGTCATGGCGTGGCCATGTATGGCTGCCAATGGAACTGGTTCTCTTGTATTTATTGATGATGTGACTGCTGACAAAAGCAGCAGGATGAATTCTGAAGTGTTTCGGGCAATATTATCTGCTCATATTCAGCCAAATGCTTCAGAACTCATTGGACGCCGCTTCACAGTGCAGATGGACAATGACCCAAATCATACTGCAAAAGCAACTAAAGAGTTTTTTAAGGAAAAGAAGTGGAATGTTATGCAATGGCCAAGTCAATCACCTGACCTGAATCCGATTGAGCATGCATTTCACTTGCTGAAGACAAAACTGAAGGGAAAAGGTCCCAAGAACAAGCAGGAACTGAAGACAGTTGCAGTAGAGGCCTGGCAGAGCATCACCAGGGATGAAACCCAGCGTCTGGTGATGTCTATGCATTCCAGACTTCAGGCTGTAATTGACTGCAAAGGATTTGCAACAAAGTATTAAAAAGTGAAAGTTTGATTTATAATTATTATTCTGTCCCATTACTTTTGGTCCCTTAACAAGTGGGAGGCACATATGCAAACTTGTAATTCCTACACCGTCCACTTGATTTGGATGTAATTACCCTCAAATTAAAGCTGACAGTCTGCAGTTAAAGCACATCTTGTTCGTTTCATTTCAAATCCAATGTGGTGGTGTATAGAGCCAACAATGTTAGAATTGTGTCGATGTCCCAATATTTATGGACCTGACTGTATATATATATATATAGGCAAACAACAACTGGTAGCATTTCAGTCATGAAGGCACAAACCTGGCAAATTGCACTAGTTATCTTAAATGTCAGCTCTTCCATAAACTACTTTACCTTTAGTTTAGAATCTGAGTGTAGGCAGTATGCATAAGGATACTTAAGCAGCATTAAACCCAAGAAAAGTATTAAATAAATGGCAGCTTACCAATCCTTAAATGTGCTGGCTGCATTAGGCTCCATTCACACAGCTGTTTGGATCAGGTCTGCGTGTCCGTTTTTCAGATGGACCTGATCAAAAGGTCCATTCATCCCTATGGACAGATGGGTGTAGATGAACTTGTGTCTTTTTACACCCGCCCTACCTCAAGGTTTGATTTGGTAAAAAAAAAAAAAAAAAAAATAATGGAAGGGTATTTATCCTTTTTTGTTCAGGCGGTACAGATCAGAAGGTATTCAGAAGGATGGGGTGTAAACAAACAGTGAAGTCCATTTACTCCTCATCACCCATAGAGCAGAGCGGGCAGTGTCCTTGTTCTCTTTGCATAAACTGAGGGGACATGGATATGTCATCTGACTGCTCTGCTGTGATCAGGGGATCTGTGTGCTGATCCCCTGCTGATTGGAATGGAATCCCCCCTTGTGAAAAGGGTCTTAGATTTCTGTTTTTAGGCTTTTGTTTTCTTATTTTCATGGTGATTTTGCCACTAGCATACTTCCTGTCTCATGATGTCTCCACTCTGGATGGAGGAACAACTGCGAGGGTAGTGTTAGATGCACTAGCAGAGTTTGATGGCTAAGGTCAAACTCCAGCTAATACTTTATACCCAAAGGGAAAATCTTTCTTTGCTGTAAATGATTATAAAGGTTTTACACAAATTAATAAAAGCTGACCGTTGTAAGCACCCATATCAGTGTTAAATGGTTTGTCTAAACTCTCTAACTGCTACATTGCTGGACAATTTTATCTGTTAAAGTGGAATTAACCCCACCTATCCTTTTTAGCCAAGGAAGCTGCCATCATTGCCTCTTTTTGATGTGTAGTTGCCATGGTGCTGCACATGCTATCAGCAATTACACCAGCCATTTGAAGGCTTGACAATTTGGTTGAGGGCTAACATAAGCTCACCAGTAGCTGAAACAGTTATAATCCAAAGCATGTCTTAAATGTAAACATTTTGGGAAACCGTTAAATTGGTAGGTTTAGTTCTACCTTAAATGAAGTTGAAAAACACTTGGGGAGCACA